TACGTACTTATAAACTCATTAAAACTCCATAAATCTTCACAAAACTCCAAATCACTGTGTTGCAAATACTTGTCCACTGAGGCGCGCTTAAATCGTTATAAAGGACCTCGCACGTCACCAAATATCAGTTCAAAACAAAGATCTGGGCGCCTACACACATACAATTCAACATCACTAAAAGAAACGGTAAGAAAAAAGATAGAAAAAGCAGCAATACATTACATTACTGAGCAATAGGGTTAGGGTTGTGGAAAGGAGTTCAACGTCCTTGAGTTACACAGTGTCAGTTACAGTGTACAACGAGCAGTTCTCTAAGCAATACACAGATAGCTAAAGTCAAAGTCTATAAGCGTCTTCTTCTCTCGTCGCGTTAGTCGGGTCGTTCTTTTTCTTCATCTTCTTGTCTTTAATGTCGCTCAATTCTTAATTATACAGTCCTATACGATACTGGTCCTTCATAAGGGGTTCAGAAGTCTTCATCTCTTCAGCGTTGTACATCGGTGTCGTTCGGGTAAAGCCGTTAGTCGTCAAGCGCGGTTTCGTCTCTGCCATGGAGCCAGTTAGCTCGGTTCACAAGAAAGACACATCTTCGCCATTTCACTTTTCTTCACAGGATGTCAATGTGCGTAAGACGCAATGCCCAGGGTTCTCACACCACGTATCAGGGGTAAAATCTCTTCTCTCTGGGGGTTCTCCACACTTGCCAGGGGGGAATCTCGTCTCGTCTCTCTATCTCGTCCCCTTGAGGTACGGGATCGGGGAAGTCACTTTAACTTTACAGTCAAATAAGACACACACAACGAAATGCGTTTCAGCTCTCGTCTTAGTCGGTCAATCGAGCACTCTATAAGAATTATTAGATTTGAAGTGTCGTTCAGAATGTAATAATAGTTAATACTAGTTGTATGTTCACACTTTACTATCAAAACCACCATTTCGACCACCCATCTGCTAGTTTAAAAACGGGATTAAAATGCGGATGTTTTCCCGTCGACAAGACGCGTGGTCGGAAATTAAGCGATAAGCGGTCGATGTAAAGCGTAAGGTTGGGCGAAATGAGTACTGTGTTTCTGTGACCATGTTTCTCCGACGAAGTCTCGACTGACAATAATGCTGACAATGGACGTTAGATAAACACGCATTGTTTGCAACTGGAAGCTTATCACCCGTTATATCAGAATCGTCAACAACAGAGTATACAGATAAGATGTTATCATTTAATTCCTTCCAAAGATAAACACTATGCAAATATCCACAAAACGGCAGTTGTAGTCTTTTCTGCTAGTGTTTTAAAACACTAATTTGAGCAACGTTATTTCGCAATTTCGATCTTTTGTAAACCTGGGGTGATGTATCAAGGTCTAAAGTAACCGTTTTATCATTTTTTGAAAAATCAAGAAAAAAGTGAAAATTTCCCTTCTCGCTACCTTAATAGCAATTTCTTCATTAGGATCATTGAGACCACTATTGAAGTCATCGGTTATGACAATATTATGACTGCCCTCAAAATACTACCTAAAAATGCATAGACCACCATAATATAAAGTAGAATATGAATTCCAATATAATTTAAGATTTGAACAAAATTGCTCAATATATGTCTGATAACCAGAAAAAAATCATTTTCACTCACATTTTTGACCAAAATGCCCACATTGTGTTCAAAAATACTAATACAGGTACCATTAAATGTCAATAGTATAGGCATTTCATTATAATTTGCTTTTATACCAAATTATTCTGTGCACCTGTTGATCATATTACATTGTCTCTGAAGAAATTGACATTGAAATTGAAATTGGTCTGTCCATGACAAACTGACTAAACCCAAATTATCTTGTTCAGACTGGGGCTAAAAATGATTGTCAATCAGGCATCATGAAGTGCATATATTTTCATATTTGTATCATAAATTTGATAGAGGACAAAAAGTGACAAAAGAGAGGAATGGTAATTATTCATTCCACTGGTACATACACTTATCTGTAGATACATACCTGTCCATATTTTGCTGGGGGACTATCTCCGATGCACTGCAGTTTATCCCACTTTTTCTGTTTTATAAGATACACATAGACGTCTTTATTGGACTTTTCTCCCCATGGAAAACTAGTACCACCAAATAGTAGTAGACAATTACCAGATATAGCCACTGTTATTGAAAAGTAACAATGTTAGCCAGGCAAATAAACCATGGGTATTAATATAAGTACATCAGAGGCATATACATACATCAGCTGAAAAAATTGAGATAACATGTCAGTTCACACCCATATGTGGTCATTTAGCCTGACAAAATAAATTTATTATCAAGGGTTATTTTCGTTCAATGTAATATTTTGCAATATTTTTTTGTTCGTACAACTTAAATTGAAAAAATAAATTCCGTAATTCTGTAATCACAGGCTAGACGTACAATGTAATGAATCAAATATTTTTTTCGTACACTGTAAAAATGTGTCATTTTTCTCGGTATGTACAAGAATTTACATTCAAATAAAAAGTCGTAAAGAATAATCCAGGTCCAGGGACCCCCTTGTCCCCCCTCTGAACAGTGTATTATTCCCTTGAACAGAACACTTTGAAGTGAAATAAAATCACTCACAAGATCCTCAACCCCCAGCACATTGTGAACAGCTTTGTTTGTCACCAGCATAATTACAACAGCGTGTCATTGTCAGCAACTAGTTATTAATATTTCAAATGCATGCAGTACATCAGCAATGCCATACTAGTTAGCACATTCTTATACTCACTGGACATGGAAGCCGTTTCTTCCGGAATTTCACCATTAGTATCATTCTCTAATGTCCATGTACAAGTGCTGAAGTTATAGCTCCAGAGCTGAAAGTAAGAGATTTTATTAGATAATGTATCACTTCAAAAACGTTGTGAACTAATATATACTTGGAGTATTTTACAGACTTACCTCTCTAAATAATTTATTATAAACAGGTTTGACATTTCTCACTTCATATACTGGATTATATCCCCCGTATATGTAAAGATTTGAATCATCTGCAGCACAGCAATGACCACTCCTGGGATATGGAGATATTTCACCTATGTAAGAAAAAACAACCTTACATTAAATGCATGCATTATGTTCATACATGTATGACAAATTTCAAAATCTATACTACAAATAGCACTGCTGTTGAAACATAAAATAAACAAATACTAAATAAGCACTACCAAGTTTGCATTAGACAAAAATTGTGTTGAAAAATATAAATTTATAAACATATTATAGTAATTCGGTAAATATCCAGAACTAATAATAAATATCGTTAATAATTAACATCTTAATATGGCCTTAGTTCATAATATTTGCTTGAAATTTCTATTTTTCTGATCTATATTTTTATATATATATAGAGATTATAGAATTTCAAAGTTTGAAGGTACACAGATAATGCCAGTGAGAAAGGTCATTCATTAGAAAACATTTTCAGAAATGTACTTCAATGGTGAGAATGATAAGAATGGGTCAAAATTTAGCTCCTAATCATCAGTAAATGAGTAATGGGTGTCATCGCGAAACATCTCACATAACATATGCTAAAACCTTCTATGGTTATGTCTGTTGTTTGTTCAGTTAACTGCTCAGCTGCATTTGTTTGTTGTTGCTTGTTGCATATTAATAGTGAACGTAGCTCAAGGGCCAAATGCTGATATCTTTAGATAATAATAAGGAAGAATTTGCTGGACTTCCAGCCCATTTATGATAAAAGATTTTGTTGTTTGTAGCTGTGGGTTCATAGCTCTTCTTGTGTTAGTCTTTAGTCTTTGAGATGGTATTTTGGTCATTTCTGATATTTTTTTGTCATTAAAGTTGTTATTTTCGGATATTAGGATTTGTTATCGACAGTTCAACTTATTATTACATATGTACTGCAGTTTATTTTGATTCGTCCCTGAAATCAAAATCGATATTTCCACACCTCATATGCAAATGAGTTTGAAAGCAAACAAAGTAGTCCCCTTAGGAGTACCATTTTTCGAAATATAGCAGAAATAAACAATATTTAAGAAGTGCGATATTTTTCTCTTGGGGTACATGAATATACTTGCCGAGTGGAATGAAATTTGAACAACAGTAACGGTCCTCTTTGGCAGTCACTTATTTTGACAAAAACTAATTTGCATATCACCCATGCAATAATGTTTTCGGTATTTTCACGGTCGATATGCAAATGAACATGGTATTTCCATTGGCTACCGAACTATTTTTATTTTGTAAACACGTTTTCGTCTGCTATTTTTGTAAGATTCAAATCGTTCAGCAACGTTTTTGGCATGTTAGGTGTACATCTCATGGAATACTACGATTGGGAGAACTTAATGTATGTTGACCACCTGGAAACTGAGTTTTATAAACCTTGAACGGCTCTCCGAAGATCCACCCGCCGTAAAATCAGCGATTACACATGTACTATTGAGCCGCAATCATCAACATCGAGATACTAGGAGGTTTCTGCTGGCGACGTTGCGGCGTTACTCAGTTCCAAATAAAA